TGTACGTTCCCTCAACCCCCTCCTGCTGTTGTTTGTAGACGGATGCTGTTCAAACTATTTTGAATAATGGCTTTTGTACCATGGTTTTATATTTATGGTAATATGTCTATGGGTTTTTTATTGCTCTTTCTGCTGAATATCTCACATGCTTCTCCTCATCCTCAACAGCAAAATCCCTGATGTCAAATATAAAAGCGATAAGTTGTTCTAATAAATGCTGCTACATTCTTTGACACATCTCTAACTTCATTTCAGCATGTAACTAAGGATTGATTTTAAGTTATAGGCCTTAAGTTTTATTATTTCAAATTCCATTTTTCATCTATTTATGGTTGGCATTTTTTCGGCAAAGCCATTTCAAACATGGATGTTCAGTAATTAGCTCTATATATAAAAGGGGTTTCAATATTACTGGCAGAGTCCGGCTTTTCCGATTGCGATTACCTGCACACCCTCAATGGATTCACAGGAATGATGATTGTATGCATGTACTTCAGTGGTACAATTTGTAATTTCATCTTATTTATAGAAGCCTTTCTAGTTAGCTCTCCCACAGTCAGATGTGTTAACGTACTGTTAATTCAAACCACAAAGCTGCAGCTTCACATTTAAAGCATCCAACCAGTGAAACATGAGGTTTTGTGAAGCAGCAACAGGAAATGCAATCTCAGAATATGGAACTGATTGCCAATCGCAAAAAAGGCATTTTGTAGAAGAAGGCTAAAATAATTTACTTAAATTTATTTCTTACCTGGGTTAGTGACTCCCGTGACTCACTCGTCATACAAAACACTGTAAACTGTTTTAAATTTCCTTATAAGTTAAACATACTGAAAATATAGTATGCTCAATATTAAAATTGAGAAAGTTAAAGGTTTAAGTGTTTTCTGTCACAGCAGTCAAAGAAGAAATGCTGGATGGACTATTAAGCTCACAGTAAGCCGATTTAAACAGCTGCCAACAGCGATTATACAATATGGGGCTCTCCTGTGACTTGTGTCACCCTTCCAAGATTGGCTCAACTCTCTTAGACCTTGCTGCCCTCAGGAGCAAAGAGTGTCCATCAAATTCATAATTATCTGGAAGGGAGGTCTATCACCATCGCATATTAGCAGCACAGAGACGGCATGGCAGTAAATAATCCCATCATTTCAGCCAGGGGAGGTCAGGCAGACATAAATTTAACACAGAGCACTTTTACATCCTGCAGGGCATTGTAGGGAGGTTTCATCATCTGAAGGATTGATGATTTGGATTTCCCCTTCCCTCCCTCTGTCTTTTTGCCAGAGCCAAGAACTTATCCAATAAGTACAGGAGAAAGTTTTGGCTTTTTTGATTCATACACATCTGAATTGCAGTGGATGTTTGACGGCTTTGTTCCTTTGCATTTCTCCACTGGATTTCTGAACAAATTGTTCTAGCGAGCAACACCTGGCAAATCAGTTTTGATGCCATACTAGGACAGGGTCATGCTCTGCTATTAAGGAATGCCTTTTTGTCAGGTCAGAAGTGAATGATATCCACTGAAGGTAAATGTTTCACACATACACATGTGTTATGCATTGAAATAAACAGCATAAACTATCCTAAGTCTCGCAAATTGCAAAAAAGTTCCACATCATTTTTGTTACTGTATTTCTGCTGGCATTGGACAGCAAACAAGATCTTCTTCTTTTGTCATTTTCCTAACTCTGGAAAGCACTTAATGTTTCTTTCCTGAAGTGCTCTATAAAAGAAATATTGCTGCACCACTGGAAATAATGGCATCTTTTGGAAAGTTGCTGATTTTCTGTAGTAGAATATATACAATAGAAAAAAACACACTTTGACATACTTGCATACAGACTTGCACACTTCCCTACAACATTTTTTGTTTTATGTTATTTATTTATTTTTTTTACCTTTTTGAGAGATTTCACCCTTTAAAATGTCCATGACTTTTTGTCCTCTCATGCAATCCATTCCCTTTAGCATGACGGGGACTTTCTTCTCTGGTTCTTCTTCTCTCAGTTTGTTTTCCCCTGCCTGACATCTATAAAGTCTCAGCTCGGAGGATGCTCTGAGCAGTGGAGAGGAGCTCCGTCTCCGGGACATTGGGCGTCCATGGTGCGAGCAGCTTCGGAATCACTCACTTAAGCAGCTAACATTTCAAACGGGCAATAAAGGGAGTCCTAGTCCCTCTAGAACAATAAAACAGTGTTAGAGTCAGGGGTGGATGCACCGTAATACAGACAGATATTTCTCTGCCACTGTTGCAGCTGCTGCGCTCAGCAGAATGAGAGACTGAATCAAAGGACATTCACTCCAGCAAAGAAAGAGGGTGATTCACTGTACGTCCAGGTGTAACATTCACTTTTTCACCATGGCCAGAGGATTAAAGGTGTATCTGGATAGAAAAGGAGGTCATAAGGGCATTAAAGTAATTCATGACCTTAATCAACCTCTGTCAGTGCAGCAACATTGGCTCTTGCACAAGTCTTTAAAGTGCCCTTAAAATGTCCATCTCCTTTACATGTAAAACAGTAGAATTAATAAAAATTCATTTTCTTTTCATAATATGTTACCCTCTGTATAGATTATTGCGGGGGCAGAGTAAGTCCGAGAGAAAGAGAAAAGAGAGGATTGTTCTCTCCATATATGACAAGATGTAAATCAGCGTGGGGGTGTTAATTTCTTTCTGTCCTTCTAGAGCAGGGACAGGGATGACAGCTAGGTGATGATCCCTCATGTCTGATCCATCTCACGCCTCATTCCCCTCACAGGAATAACATTGAACAGGGATTTAGCCAAGACCTTGACTTAACTGCCTGCTTGTAGAGAAGAGTGCACATTGTCTTTGTTGTGTGGGTGTGCAAGTCTTCATGTTGTAATACGCAGAAGGGTTGCCAGTGTTGAGACGTGTGTGAGTGTGTGTGTCATTTTGTTTTTCTTTGGCTTTGTATTTGCATATGTATTCATACCTGACTGTGAGTACATGTCAATGAACAGCAGATAGCTAAGGTTCAAAGCATGGATGGCCCTAACACTGATATGCCAACATCCTTGAAACTGTCTTACGACCCTCTATGAAGTAAAGTAAACTAGAACACCCAATGTGTATTCATTTGCAGCTCAAAATAGTACCCAAATAGGGTTGATTAGTGACGTTTCCTACTACACAGCACAACTTTTTTAGGAAACCATTTAGCCTGTATTAAAAATTAAACAATATATTTGTGACCCATGTCTTTACTTTGTAACCAGTGAAATCTGGGCTGAGTTTTGCAGATGGTAGGACAGTCAGAAAATATTGAGATATATTGAGATAGATAGATTAACTATTAAGTCGGTTTTTTTTTTTTTCATGGTATTTAAGAAAATTAATATAGAACAATACCGGCCTCTTCCTTTAAGGTATTTCCAACATAGTCACAAATGAGCTTGATGGCAGAGATTTTACCAACTCTTCATACCTAAATGAAAAATTGGTCATATGTCACAACCTTTGGTTAGATTAGGAAACGATCACATCCTTGGTAACTCGCATTAAAGCTTTTCTGGCGACTCAACACCTAGCTGTACTTTTTTTCCCTTTAATTTATCACCCATCTGAAGGTCTCAAGCTATTTGAACAAAGCACCAATCCCTTTATTTTTCTCGAGATGTCAGTTAATTTTTCTTTTTTGACTCCCCATTTTTTTTATAGAATGCCAATTTTAATACATGGAGAAAAAAGTATGTGATAAAAACAAGTCATGTTTTTTTCCTTACTGAAGTCCTGCTCACTGTGCCAGTGTCAAGCACTCAAGATGAATAGAGAGTATGTAGTCTTAGGGGTTGTTGAGGACTTAATTATGGGCCACCCTGAGCTTTTCTTTGAGATGAGATGGCATGTTGCACACCAGGAAACCCTTTGTTAGTTTGTGTGTCTGTACATATGCATAAGCATGCAAATATGTGCCTTTTTAATATGCACTTTAACATAGAAAACCCCAGCAGGGCACGTTGTCTTTCTGTTGTAGCCTAGCTGAACCCTTGTTGACTTTGCTGCAGTGACAGTTGCGCTAGAAACTTTAGATATGCTTTGGCAGTGCTCCCCACTGCTACAAGTTTGGAACCAAAAGGTGATGCTAGGACTAAACTTCTGGAGAGTCTCCATCATATCCCTTCATTTTGCATTCATTAGCTTTGATAGTTGTTGGAGGAGATTAGGCAATGATATCCATTCCCATGTACTCTCAGAGGGGGGCTCCTGCTCTGCAGTGATCGGGCAGGGACATCACCTAATGATTTATTCATACGAGAGAGATTTTTTTCATATTTTGTTCTCTCATCACCACACTTCTGACTTGCACGTAGACCTCGCTCCCTCCCGCCCTCCTGTTAGCGTCTCTAATGCTGTCATCAGGTAATACTAAAAGCAAAGGAGGAACACGAGAAAAGAAAACGAAAACCTTGTCGTCTCCCTCTCTGTGCCTGGTGCTTATTTGCCTGCTCTCCATTTGTATTAAGTCCCTCACAGCATGTGACAGACGTGTTTTGCATAATCACTGATTTCAAGTGTGAATAAAAAATGCTGACTGCTGTCCATGATTAATTTGTGGTCTCTCATTTCCTCTCCACATCCTCATCAGGCAGAGGCTTGCAGGAGCTAGAGGCCCAGTCTCATGAGCTCTAATCCTATAGCAAAGGAGGACAAGAAGTTCCAGAGCGTCTAAATGAGGATGTTTACCTTTTGTTTTTGTGTGGTTGCAAAGATTACTTGTAATTAATTGGACCCCCTGCACAGAAAAAGCTGTCAGACAAATTACGCAAACAAAAAACTAACATTTCTTAAATGAGTAAACACTCAAGGACACACATACACGCATAGACAAATACACACATTATCTATCCCTCTTGTCCCCTTTTCCTCTCCTCCCGCTATAAAACACACAAACACATTAAATCCAGTTTACAGCTAGTGTAATTGAGGTTAATCAAATGTCTTTTTTTCCGTATCTGTGTGTTTGCTCTTGTAGGCAATGCATGCACCATGTCAGAGTACAACAGGCTGAAGAACATGCTGCTGGATATGCAACCTAAAGTGTTGAAGACTGGAGAGCAGAGCCAGCAGAGAGACATGGAGGAGAAGAGAGCACTGGTGGACACCATGTTCAAATACCTGGATGTGGACCAGGACGGCCGGCTGGTCAGTGATGAGTTGGAAAAGGTGGGCATCAAAAACACAGATTTCAAACCTCATCCAAGATATTTGCAGGTTGGGGATAAGAATGTTATTTGCCCTGAAAACTATGGCTTATTGCTGCCACCATGAAAAACAACAAAAAGTTGCTACATTTCTCGGAACAAAGAGAAACTTCTCTTGTTTTAATTAGTTCCTTTACACTTAAAATGTGAGTCTTTCTCCGCTCATATAGGGTGGTAATTGATCTGATGTTTTCTTCTTTGTGTGTCTCGCACCAGAGTAATTACTGAGTGAGTGACATGTGGCTGGAACATTTAATCATCTTGTTTAACAATGAAAAATGTACTGAGGTTATCTCCTCAGCAGGGTCTCACGGTAAACAGAGGGGGAACTGTAGAAAGGATTGGCATTGACATTTGCAGGGTGAGGAAATGAAATTATTGTGGGCATCATCTGGTATCAGGAAATGGGCATCAAAGATGGGTGTTAATTAGACTCCTCCCAACCAATGCTGTGATCTCAATGACTTTAGCCAGAATGCAGTGAACCATGTTAGAGTCATTGCTGAGCACAGACCGCAACAGGAAGAGTAAATTGTCAAATGCTTCAGTCTTAATGTCTAACATTTTAAATGGGCTGTAGCTCTTTCTTATTATGTGGAAATAGAAAGAGATTGGCTGTATGCCAAAGAAAAACAAGTTTATTAGAAGCTGAAAATGAATAAGTGCAACTTAATATAGTTTCAAAATACCAAAGTAATTAATCTTTTGTCATCTTACTGTGGTTGTAAAGGACAACATGCTTTTTCGCCTTTTAAAATGAAAAAGATTGAGTGATTTTTGGCCTAGTTCTAGTAGCAGAAATAAATAATAAAACCCTTTTCTGGCAGAGCTGCACTAAAAGATCCAACAAAAGATTTTGATCAATCACAGCTGGCAATTACTAATGCTGACATGTTGCCAGGAAATATTTAGATAAGATGGCCTTATCCTGTATGAATTCATAAATTCAGTTTAACAGAGATAATGCTTTTAAGGATCAAAGGAATTCAATGATGAACTCGGTCATCCACCCAGACTTTCTCCACTATTGGATCTATCTTTTGTCACAGATGGTCTTAGAGGGTAAAGTCCTGCACTTTGGGTATGAAATATTTTATTCAAATGCCCAAGGACAGATCAGTCTGTGTCACTGAACACATGGCTGCAGTCTGCTGTAGGCAGCAACAAGAGGAAAAAGTTACATCCCTTAATCTGCCATGTCACATGTGCAGCTCCATATAGAATCAATTGGAACAGATGAGCAAGAGGCTATATTTTTAGGCTTGGAAATCATAGCTTAAGGAATTAAACATGGGACATGTTGCCCTAAAAAACTTAACAGAGAATAATCAGTCTTTCTTGAGGCTCCAGTGTAACTTTTCGGAGGATCTATTGTCAGAAATGGAATATAATATTCAAATATAATATATATATATCTGAATATTACTACTATTCCATATATATATTTCCACATGTTTATGTTATTTACTGTGCTTATACAATTACCTTTTTTTTTTGCAGATATTTTTTTGTGATTTCTTACATTTATTTCTGACAGTTGCCACTAAAGAATACACACTAAATAAAATAATTAGGTCGTATGTCTACATGCTCCATAACTTTTGTACAGAAGCAACAGCTTTACTAGTATATAATGCAACTGGAGATATTGAGCACAAGCCAGATCTTCTGTTTATCTCCCTAAACTTTTGAACATAACCTATTCAAAGATCGTTCCCCTGAGAAAGGTGCGCCACTAAAGTGGAAGAGAGGTCTCATAAATGACAATGACAATGGAAGAGAGAGTGGTGCGTCTTCCCAGGGTAACATCTTTGAATGAACTTGTGTAGTATGCACAAGTCTTTCTAAAATGGCAAGCAATCAGGAACAGCACTTACATGACAGATTACGTATTTAAACCACCCCTTTTAAACAGAATGAAATCACTCTCAGAATGAGTCAGTTTCTCAGATTCTGGTGTTTCTGCACATGAGGCGTTTTCCCTCCGCTGAAAATGTTATTCTCATTATTGGTTGAATATAAAGCCAATTTTAAACATTACTTATAATTGCCTCTATGTTCAGGTCGGCAGTTTTTTTCAAATCACTATTGCATCTGCTGGAAACCCAAATGATCACTTGTTGTTGTAACAGCAAAGTTTGAAAGCTTTCATGAGAAGGCTATAATAAAGGTTTGATCACTACTGTGCTGTATCTTTTTATAAAAGTAAAATTTTGATAATGTGCATAACTCATACTGTATGTAAAATACAGATTTAATTACATGGATGAGTCTATGATTCTTCAGTACATTAAGAGATAGGCTTAGCGCAGTTGTTCATAGTCATAAAAGTGCCTTAGCTATCCTATTAGAACAATGCTTAAATGTTAAATGTGTGTGGTGTCTCCCCTTTGAAAATGTCAGATTTACATTAATACTGAACATGCATAATGTGGTTATATCCTACAGCATACAGCTTAGAATAAAAACGACGAAGGCAGGAGTTTGTTTGGTTTGTTATATGATTGAAAGCACCGTATGTGTTTGTGTGTGTTAGATCTCTATGAAGGAGCACCTGGAGGACAGCCTGCTGGAGTGCACCATGCAGGACCTGCTGCGTTATGACGACTACAACAACGATGGACACCTCAGCCTGCACGAATTCTACACAGCTTTTCGTGAGTATTTAGTCTTTAGTATGTGCTTTTCCCACTCTCCCTTTTCCTTTTTCTTTATTTTTCCATCTCATCCTTATTTTCTTTCTCTTCCCTGTGTACAATCAGAAAGCAAAGATACAAAGTATTTGTCCCAGAGACCATATTATCCTGTAATACTGTATCTCCTACTTTAAACATAATATGTGTCTTCTTTTAAAATATAAAACAGTGCATTTCTACATGCTGTACCCCTACCTGTCTACATTTTCTGCTAAAACTACATGCCCAGTTTGCACTTGAGCACCTTTTGATTAATTAGTTTGCTTTAGTTGACAAACAGTGCAATACATATGTCACCCATGCTTTTATAAACTAAAAATACTCAGCTTACTGTTGCCACTCTTTAGAATCTGGTGACCTCCCATCCAGTCAGCTGCTCTCTCCACAGCAGCCATCAGGATAAAAGTGTTTCAGCCACAGATAAATTGATAATTGCACACTAGCCCATGTGCCCAGACCCAGCCATGATTATGGCATCTGGAACAGCTATAATAGCCTTTGGGGTTTAGGCTGAGCGGCAGCTGAAAGGCAGGTTCCACCTTATTAAGACCAATAATCACAATTACACCGTTAATGGTACTGTAGCATCAGCATCAAAATTGCTGGACACCATGGCAACCTGCTGCAACTTCTGTTTGCAAACACACAGTTTTTATTTTTCTTTTTTCTCTTTCATGTCTCACTTCAAACTACAGTGAAATAACTTGGATCTGGATCCAAAGTGGTGATAAAATCTGATAAAGTTGATGAATCCAGCAGTTAGCTGTGGCAGGTGGCCATTTCTAAGGCTGTACCTTCAGCTTGTGCAGGTCCATTAAGCCTCACAACTAATTTAGCCTCCTAATGACTGGTTTTAGTGGGAACCGTCCTGCTATTATTCTGTTACACTCCCCTCACCTTCCAGATGGGCAGTGATCAGACATCGCACAGTATTTATCTACCTACAGGCTGGCCTGTGGGGTTCTAGGCCATGTTTGTCAATGCATTTTATGTTTGACAAGCAGTTGAAGAAATGGGTTGGGACCAATAAAACAAGCTATTGATCAGATGACACTCAAGGTTAACTGTTAGGCTGCAGAAAGGCAACACCAAGAGGGAGTAATTATTTTTGAGTGGTACATCTGGTGTTCTGGATAATGTTGATAGTGTTGAACTGTTTAAGTTTTCATGTAAGTGTGTGTGTGTGTGTGTGTAACTGCAAGTGTGTATGTGTTTTCCTGGGATGCACTCAGTGCTATCCCCAGTGAGTAGTCTGTGAAGCAGAGCAGCCAGGAATCACAGGTGTGTTTAGTAGGCTGGAAATTTACAATATGGGCATACGCTTGGAAAATAGAATACGAATAATAGACTGAAATAGACAGAAATTATGTGAGAAGGTATTTTGCCCTGGTTGATATTCTGCTGTCAAGCCAATTGTTAGAACTGATCTGAGGCCAACATTTGAAATAAAAGCTTTAGTCATGTTTTAGAGACCAAATAATTCAAAGCACAGGTGTAGAAAATAATACTAGCAATTCTTCTTTAGATTTTATGGTTTTCCTCTGTTGATACTTTCTTTCTTCCGCTTTGATGTGAGAATCAAAACCCTCTGGCCCTTTCCCGAAAAGATAACTCCAGCTTCATTGTTGCTCCCACAGTCACTGAACTTGTGCTGCTAAGGAACGGTAATTGTGTTGTTTTGGTCCCTTTGCTGTCTTTGCTTTATTTAATGTATAAACCTTGACAAGTACATCGCTTTACAAAGCTCTGCTCTGTTGCCACCCAAATCTATTTTTTATTTTTTACAACAAATTGAATTGAGGGGAATATGCTTGGAGAATACTCCTGAGATTTTTTTCCCTTATTCTACGTTTTACAAACCCAGCAGGTTGTTTTTATGTACTTTTTTACTTTTATGTACTGCCTCATTGACACCTTTGTTGAATAGATTTGACTTAAACATCTATTTCTTTCTCCAAGCGTATGGAGAGATTACTGGCAAGTACAGGGAGACGGCAATCACATTTACGATTGTGACTCATTTTGTCTAATCCAATCAGTACAATGATGGAATACTCTTTAAGTCCTTGATTATCGGTTTTGTAAGTAACCAGCAGTATGTAGTGTATAAGTATAGTAAGAAAATGATGGGAAGAAATTATCCTTCTAGGTTTGGCAGTGGTAAGGTTTTCTTCCACAGAAAATCCGAATGGAGGATCTAACTTAGTTTCTTCTTTTTTACTTGTGTAACTGTTTTATATGCCCTGAAAACTCACTTTACTAATGACTCACTTTACTAAACCGTGTATTTATAGTATTTATAGTATTTGTCAGAATACAGTTGTATGCAGCATGTAACCCTAAAATATGAATTGTAATCGAGGTGCAACCAATGATTATTTTAGTTATCGATTGTCAGAAATTAGAGGGACATGTCCAACACAAGTTCACAGAAGCTAATGTGACATCTTCAGATTGCTTGTTGAATAATATTCAGTTTACAGTGATAAAAATCCTCCTCCTCACACACAAGTTAGACACAGAGAACATTTGACATTTTTGGTTGATAAGTCTTGATTAAACCATGATCATGATTTTCTGTCAATTAACTATTCAATTAGTTGATTCAGCACTAAATACTATTTCTTGTCTTTTTATATTGTTTATATATATTGCAAACCACACCAGAAATTCTGAGGTTTACTGCCAGAAAAACAGCGACTTCTTTTTCTTTTACAGCAGGAGTGAGTAATCAACCTTCTCTTTGCCATGGAGCGTATTGCAGGACAGAGATAACAGAATAATGACTTTAAATCATCTCTGTGGTTAGCTAATGGTGGATGGTTTCGCAAGGTTCTATTTCTTAACATTTATTATGGTGTCAAGGATGGCTTGTACATGAGCCCTTTGTATCCAAATTAGAACCACTGTAATTAAACAGTAATAAATGTGCAGGAATTTGCCTCGAGGACGTTGGCGCTGATGCCAGAATCAAGATAATTCACAATAACTGTTCGGTAAGAAGCTGCCAGGTGAGCAGCTTTGTTGAGAGATATCTGAAGCCTGCAGATGTAATATATACGGTCACACAAGGTCAGGGCTCCTTTGTGGATACATGTGTATTATATAAAGCTGCCCTGGGGTGATACATGGACTGCGTGTGCATTATGTATGGTAAGTAACCTTTTGTAAATGTGCAGTCCAAGTTATCTGCGCTCCATTCCATAATATTGGCTTTTACACCGTTTTGTGGACTTTCACCATGACCTGCACAGTACATGTATTCATTGAATAAACCTTTAATAAACGATGTGTCCTCATGGCTGCAAGATAGAGAATGCAGTTTTGGAAATCAACACAGTCAGAAAAGGGAAGATTTTGATCATAGAACAAGGTGATAATTCAGTATTATTTATTATATTGCAATATATTTAAATTTTCTATCAGTCATCATCATTACACCAGATAAAGCTGAACACTGTAAGTGGAATTCATAACTCACCCACAGCAGGATCGAGATACTACCGCAGCGTTATTGGCTGTTACCCTTCAATTTACCACCATAAAACCAGAGGTGTGATTATGGTCGAAACCTTTAAAAGTTGTGTGTTGATACTGAAACTTTGGGACTGTTGGAGACCCTCTAGATCCTGCAGAGACCAGCATGGGAGAAGCAGAACAAAGATAAACATTGATGCTCATGAATTCAAGCTAACGCTCTCACCATTGTCAGCCCACTGGTTTGTTTATTTCACCATACTCCATGATTGACTCTGGGTCATCAAGCCAGCAAATTGGGAGAGAAACAGAGGGAAAAAGAGGACAACACCAGAAGAAAGCAGACATTAGAGAAGAAAGCTGCAGGGCAGCAGCAGAAAGACAGCAGGAACATGTATGAAGTTTTAAAGAAAAAAGATGCTTACCATGTTCTTACTCTGGCAGGATTTTTAGACTACACATTACTGAAAGAATTGTGGTTCTATCTTTTATATTCTCCCTGGAAGTTATCAATCTTAGAGCAGCAATCCAACTGCTTTTTCATTAAGATTTATTTTTCTGTTTTCCAATTTAAAATGCTTGTACAAGTATTTTGATAGCTCCAAAATTGATTTCAGGGTTGCTGAATTCTTTATCAGATTGATTTATAAAGTTTAACTTTGTTCATCCGACTAATAGAGGTTTACTCGAGCACGTAACTACAAAGTTGTGGACCTTGTTAGTGTATGTTAACGAAACTATTAGTTATTAAGGTGTAGCGCAATGAGCCAGTGGTCCTGCTTTTAATTTATTTACAAAAACACACAACTGGTGAGCATCTAACTAGGACCAGGCTAGTTTCCTCTTTTTCCTATTGTTCTTCTAACTTTTTCCCATATGCACTTCTTCCCTTTCAAGCTTGTTCTCTTTTATTTTTTCTCAACATTCTTCCTCCACTGTGAGTCTATTTGTTTTCTATGACTCGTGTTAATAGTGGAATTATATGGAGATGCTCGGCTGCACTGGCAGGGCCACTCAGCAGGTCTGACTAATTAATCAAGAGAGTGAAGTAGCAGAGATGGAGAGGGAAGAGGAGGTAGGAGAGTGAGAGTATCATGTGGAGAAAAGGGGACTCTGAAAAGGGTGGGGGAGGAAAGATTAGAGCCTGTGGTGGAAGAAGGGAGAAGAGCCTCTCCGGGGGGGAATAGCCAGTGGGAGAAATTGTAGAAAAAAATGGAAATGGAGAAAAGAAAATTAGATGGTTGCAATTGGTGGGGGTCAATAGGTTTGTAGTTGAAGAGAGTGGTGTGTGAAGGTTTGTATGTCTGTTTTGAACAATGATTTGTGTTTTTACTTTCGTATTTGTATACCTTCTGTATTTGTACATGGTGTGAATGTTTTTGTGTGTGTGTTGTATTTTACTCTTACAGTCTAAAGAAAGCATGTGCATTTTTTTTACATTTCCGATGAGATAATCAGTTATTTAAATGTGAGAAAAATATGCA